CATGCAACATTATCATCATATATCATTTTAATACAACATTATATCATGTGAGCTATCTGCCACCCAGCATAACCATCTGAACATGAACTGTAATCCTAGTAAAGAATGCAGATTTTTCTCGGATAGAGTAATGTACTTACAGTTGGAACTGGCAGTAATCCTTTAACTCTTAAATTTGAATAATAAAAGATGCATGGAAAGAAAAATCTGTTAATTATGAGCTGCCGGTCATTTAGGATTTTGATGTTGTGTGACCGGCAGTCCGCCGTCAGTTGGTTGAGATTTTTCTCGAATAAAGAAATGTCTCTACAGTACCATGAAAGTTTCAGAAATGTCGATTATGTTGTTTTAACTTTTTAAATAGAGATAGTAAAAGACAAATCTGTTATTTTGTGAGCTGCCGGTCATTTAGGATTTTGATGTTGCGTGACCGGCAGTCCGCCGTGTTGGTTGAGATTTTTCACGAATAGAAAAATGTCTATACAGTACCATGAAAGTTTCAGAAATGTTGATTATGTTATTTTAACTCTTTAAATAAGAATAATAAAAGAGAAATCTGTTATTTTATGGGCTGCCGGCTATTTAGGATTTCGTTGTTCCGTGGCCGGCAGTCGGTTCAAGTTCGCACAATGTCTCTAAGTGCAACGAATTTCGGCGCGACGTTTATGTAAGTTTTAACACACTCATTTTACTCGTAGTTTTAACACGCTCATTTTTGTCATAGAGTTTTATTTTGGAGTTTGGAAGCTCGTTTAGATAATAAGAGAGTGAAAAAACACATTTTATGGGCTGCCGGCCATTTAGCATTTTCGAGACCTTGGCCGGTAACCAGCCATATAGACACAGCGTATTATTTATAATTAATAATCATTACCCGTTTATGTTGCCTTCTTGACTGAAGACAAGAAAACCTAACGATGATCTGGAAATACCATCATAAAAACCGTCAAAGTATTTCTCTAGTATTGGCCATTCACGGTGATAAACAAATACATATTCCTGACAATTCTCGTAAATATGTTGTAGAGCATCAAGAAAAGCGAGTTCTTTTAATATATATATGACTCCTTCGTTTATATCAATGAACGTTTCGTTACTGGAATCTTGTTGTCCACTTTCGCGCCCATTCGTCATGCAGGTTAGTGCAGCTCGTGTTGATTCTTGGATTTCGACTCGAAATTGGTCGTTCTTAAGGTACAACTCCCTGATGCATTGATAAGCTTTATCATAGTACGGGTTGGACTGAACTTGTGTTGTCCAGCTGATGAAGGTAAACTTCTCCGCTTGACAACCAATACTTTGCATGACTTCTTTGCACTTATTTCGCAGACGGTTAGATTTCACCCTCGCTGAAGTTTCAGGGTTTTTGGAACCTACAGCTTTGTAATTATGTTCAAGGATCTTATCCGGTATGAACAGCAGCACCTATGAGTACACGGTAAGTTAGAACAGATACCTAAGTGGCCTCGTGAATACGGGCGTTAACCTCACCTTGTCTGCTCTAGATTCTGCGAGCTGGCAAAGACTTCGTAGAGTGTCGTCTTTGTAATAGTGTGGATTTCCAGGACTGAGACCAAGAACCATCGTGCGTCGATTCTCTAAGTACACCTTACCATTGAAAAGAGCCAAGCTGCTTCGATTCATCTTTGATGTCTTCTACCAGTGCAGCAGTTCTTGGACTTAAATTCTTTTATGCTTTTTTTGGACAATGACTAAATAAGGAGCGAGGGACGGTCGACAGACGGTTTCCCGCTGGGTGTCGGCTTTTGATAAGCTATTGACTATCATCTCTCCATTCCAGCACTATCTGACTATCTGAAATGGCGTTAGAACTTGCATCCTATGGAGTCTTGGCGTTGTTCGTTAGTATCCTTCTGGCATGGCCGCTTTTAAAGATTTCTTTTCAGGTAGTCTTTAGCTTTTTATATGTTTAAAGTGATAGTTGTTGTTCGTGGTATGAAAATTTTAGGACAATTATACAGAGTACACGACGAGTGCCATACAAACCATATATTCGCACTACGGGGATATGTACCACACGCGCGATAATGGAATAGCAGGAATACTTTTATTTCCGCATCTGGCAGTTAGGGGTCTACCATGTGGTACACCTAAAATCTGTCTGGCTAAATCGATAAATCAGAGTCTGTTAAATGGTTCGATGTCATCTTTGTTTCAGCTACTATTGGTATACTTACGAGTTCCGTGGAAAAACGCAAAAGGTGAGAGAATGAAGGGTGAAACACCGAGGGTCCCCTACGGACATTTTAACCAAGTTAATTTCTTTGGAAGACCACTTTCTCAAAAGCATGGATCCGTTTATTACATCTGGAATTGCCTAACCCCTGTAGTGTAAGTATCTCGACAATTTTCACTAAGGAGTTTTTTGTCTATTTTTTTGAAAAGAGAAAAGGAAAAAAGGGTTACATTTTGCTAAAAATTAAAGAGTAGTCACTGAAAAAAATCCGCGGTTTATCTGTGAAGCAAAACACGGATTTTCTCATTTTTTTCTTTAAATGAGAGGTCAATTTGGATCTTTTTTCAGCTAATATATTCTATATTTTCATGATGTTTAAGAAGAGCTTGATAATCTCTTTAGCAGGGGAGCTTTATATTTTGCTCTTGATGTATAGGGAATGTACTTAAAAAGAGTGAAGAAAAATTTTCAAAAGTATCACCTTCATAACCCAACCAAACATTTTTGAGGCTATGCCAGGCAGGTTAATCTGGTTTGAATTACTCAGCCAGTTTTTACAATATCCTTTTCCTTAACGAGAAAATTGTATAAGTTTAATTTAGTTGATTCCCCTAAAAGTGCATTTTGTCTCACTTATGATGAGTCTTTTGAACACTTTTTTCTTGTAAATTGTTCTGAAACTAGAAATTTTTATCTGGAAGTATCTCGAGTTTTGATTTCGTCACAGTCTTGGGTGGACCACTCTGTGAATGACGATCGCTTGTTGGTGCGTTGAAAGCAAACTTACGGTCTGCTTATTTTACTAGGATTTTATCAGACGCTGAGGCAATTCGTAGCTTCTACTCTGATCACTACTCACACAAACGAGACCAAGACTTTACGTGTATTGGTGCCATTTGGAATCAGGTGCTCGGTGATTGCATGGCAAATAGTCATGGACGGCAAGAAGTCAAAAGATGCCGAGGTCCTTTTGAGAAGTACTTCACTACCGACATTGTCACAAACTTTCTTCCAGTTATTGGTCGAGAATGTAATACATTTTTAAAGAACCTATCCACAAACAAGCCCATTGATCTAGCGAAGAACGGTTTATCGAATATCACACTTCGTACTCTTGTTCAGATGGTCTATGGAGAAGATGTCCTGAATAAGTATTTCAGTACTGACATTCTACGAGTAAACGAGCTTCTTCAAGATACAGTTGATTTGTTTAATATTGGTCAAACACGACTGCCATTTTACTCCAAGCTGCCAACTAAAGCAAACACACAAGCAGAAGCTTTCAATAGTGCTTGGTCCGAGTTTAATAACTTCTTGTTCAAGGAGTATAAGGAGGGACTTATAAACAGTTCTGGAGAAGAACTGTTCTTTGTCATGATGGGGCAACTAAGATCCGATGCGCTCGATCTTAGCGAACGAGAAGTATGGGAATTATGAGATTGCTTTTAACGATAATCTTTTATGTGATCTCCATCACTCTTACAGTTTTCTACTAGTCTGCAACGTGGCTGCTCTAGGGGAGGAGAAGGGAAGCTCTTTCTTAGTCTCCACTCTCGTTCTGCCCCTAAACCGCTCGCTACCACTGTGCAGTCCAGCAGAAGGTATAATAAAATGTCACCTCTCAGTAACAATACTATTTTCTACTTCGCAGCTACTTCAATCTGTAGACGAAATTCTGCTCCTAAATGTAGATGTGAGCTTTGCTGCAACATCATTTGCGTTAAGTGACATAGCCAAGTACCACGATATCCAAGATAAACTTCGTCATGAAGTGGACGGAGCTCTTGAAGGTCAAGACCCATCAACATTCCAGAACTTGTATAAAAGACTGCCTTATATGGAAATGGTGCTAAAAGAGAGTGCCCGGATGCACCCAGCTATTGCGTTAAGTCTCCCTGAAAAGACCGTCAAACCTTTGACTGATGTGGCTGGATATCAAATCCCTGATGGGGTAAGCTAGTAATGTGGTAGTGGCCAATACTATTAGGTGAGGAGGGAGAAGCTGCATGGAATGAGATTTTTAAAAGACTCTAATTTTTCCCCATACCCTCCTCCGCATTCTTTTTCATTTAAAGATTGTTTGTATGAACTCTGCCATCTTCTCCTTGATTGACAGGAATTGGGAAAGTTTTTTTTATTGTTGAATATTTAACCCTACTGCTTTCTTTTGAATAGACACCCGTGTGCGTGGACACTTACTCTCTCAACTTCAACGACAAATACTGGGAAAACCCGGAGCTGTTTCAGCCCGAACGGTTTTCTGAAGGTAGCAGGCAAATACCTGGTTCGTACTTCCGATTTGGAATGGGCCCTAGGAAATGCCTTGGATATCGTTATGCTTTGGCCATCACACGAATTGTCGTAGCATCTGTTCTGCAAAAGTACACGATTCAGCTAGCCGATCCCACTGCTCAAGAGAGAGTCAAGACAAGAGGGATGGTTTTCTTTACGCCATATCTTTGCCCTGAAATAGTTTTTACAGAGAGGACCTTGCAACAGTAAGGACATCTTTGATGCAAATAGTTTTACAACCATGAAATAGTAAACCTGTCAATTGTACAACTTGCTAGTCATTCCCAGAAACTTTGATACAGTATCTACAGTATAGTTATTTTAACAGCAAAAAGCGGTGTTTTTTTTTCTTGAAAAGATCTACTTATATTTTTAAGTTCAGGCTCACTGAACCATAATTTCATCGTATTTCAAAAGCGATGCCTGTCTTTCGTGACGTTTTAACTAGCGTAAACTCATGCCCTGGAATGCCTCCGGAGTATTAGAGGGAATTATTGAACACATATTAATGTTTCCATTGGATACTGTTAGGCTTGGGCGTTTTATTTTAATCTTAATGCGCAATAAGTAACATCACAAGGGGTGATGTAGGGGAGATCCAGATGGTGGCCGATTAAAATTTTGGACACTATCGGAGGTGCTATTAGAGTAAGAGTGATGTCAATTCGTTTTGTTTGTAATCATGAAGAATTTTAATAAATCACGATAACAAAAACCGTGTAGCTTAATTTTACAGATATATGCATTCCACTATATTCTATAAACTAAAGCCAGAATATTTTCCATGTAAATCCACAAAAATGCCACAATTACTTGCTATATCTGTCCTGACTTTGGACAAGAATTTACCGTTGTCAAAATATTCAATTGATCGTTTTCACTCTTTCCCACTGGAGATTCAAATTAAAAGACCGGCGGCAATTTTGGAGGAATGATCAATAGATACTAATGAGAAACCCTTTGTTGAAGTTCCTCCAAGATGGCCGCAGTGACGTAATCTGAAAACGAAGAATTGTAAAATACCATGAGTCAGCCTAGGCTCGGTATCCAGCCGTCGGGATTTCGTGCGCCCGCGATACTCTCTCCCYTGACGGCTGGGCGCATGGGGTTTTCTATTGTCAGTCTCGACCAATCAGCGAGTGGCCCCCGATATTTTCAGGGGMATATCATTAATAAATTAGCAGGCAGGCGTCGTCGCAGTGTAACAAAATGGCGGACAATTCGTCGTTTGAGATTCTCGTTTGAACGCTCTGAAGTCGTTTAGCTTGGACGAATTTAGAGAAATACAGCAAAAGGCTCTTAAAGAGATTGTTCTTGGAAAAGATGTCCTTGTTATTCTTCCTACTGGCTCGGGCAAATCTCTTATTTTTCAAACAGCGCCACTAGTGTATTTTGCTCGTCTTTCTGACAGATAATATATCCATTTGGATTATTAAACCCTGCACATGTTTTACTTGGGGTAATTTCCATTCCTTTCTCTTTTTTAAAGCGCTAACTATTACATTATATCGCCACTTCGCGAAGTTTTCATTAAAACCTTTTAATACGGCTGTTGTCAGATATTTCACTTCCGTTCACTGAAAAATTCACTTCCGTTATTCAGAATATGCTAATTACACAATAACGTCACGGACATGCGCGACACGTTTCGAACCCCATGCGGCCAGCCGTCAGGGGAGAGAGTATCGCGGCCGCACGAAATCCCGACGGCTGGAGACTGAGCCTAGAGTCAGCCTGAACTCATGGCTTTCAAGACATCTCTTGTCCTTTTTTTCTTATTTTTGTGTTATGTTTATCTATCCTTATCCTATCTTTAATATAAAACATTAAAAGTAACAATGAATAGTTGGTCAGGTTCATACATGCGAGAGAAACTGCATACTGTTGCAACAGAGAAATGAAATCACGAACAACTGTGACCGGGGTGGTGATTGTGACATGTATGTTTAAGAACATCTGTTCTTCCCATTGCAGCATAGCCACTCCAATACTTATCACCATCTGGTTTTGTTGGGTGAATTGTACAGCCCCAGTCTCCCACTGTTTCAGGAAGTCTGCACATCCACAGAGCACGTGATAATCAAGGATATTATAATCATTAAAAGCTACTGGATGCAACTCGAATGCAAACGCAAGAAATGAAACCATTTAATTTTTCTTGCACATCCATTTGAATTTTGTGCTTGCATGTCCAACTTATGAACCGACGCATTTGAAGCTATATGCGCCGCAAGCTCTGGAAATTGTTTTTTTTTATAAATCGTTGTTTCTCTTAGAAGTCAGGAGCCCATTACTAGGAGCCTTCCTCTTCTTCATAAGCTCTTGGAACGGCATTTACCCCTCTTGGTCCTCTTGGTGTTATTTTTAGAATTGCTCATTATAAATTCAGCGCAAAACAGCCAATCAGAAAGCGACTTGAACAATAGGTTTCTGAATGACCGACGGCCGCCGGTCGATCGCCGGCGAGGAAGATCTTAGCACTAGACTTAGCCTGAGTATCAGGCTCTCTCGAAGGGGATTGGGGCGTTTCGTGTTGCACACTGTGTTTGTACTCTATAATGCAGATATTAGTAATTGTGTCAATCCATGGTGTATTACATGAAGTACTGACAGAATATTTGGCCACTGAACAAAAGATGTTTGTACCAAATCTAGACCACATCCAATGTGAACAAACATCACCACGCCTTCTGAACCCACCCTAGGCCGTTTCCCAATGAGCAAGTATCAAAAAGAAATGAAAAGTCTAACATTTTTATGCACAATATTTAAAAACTTTATTTCAGATACTTTCCCAGTTGGTTATAAACATACTCTAAATAAAACTACGGTTAAAACTTGCGGTTTCTTTCGAAAGTTAAATGCTGCGACAGTGTTGGCTAGCAACCTTTTAAGCCTGGTCCTCACTAGCACATAAGAGCAAGCATAAGAATATCCCAGTAGTGAAACATTTGATATAAACATAAGCAAAAGATTATTAAAATCTTTTGTTGTTCCTGTATTTATGCGCTAGTAAAGGCCAATCTTCAGGGAGTGAGGTTATTTCAGCAAAAAAACAAAAACAATTTCCTTTAGAAGAAAACACTGCTGTAGTATATGTTGTAGTGTTTGAAAATATATCCACATACTAAACTGAGATTAACTGAAGAGATGTTTATGGCATTATAACATTACAAGAGGTAAAAGATGTTAATACAAACAATAACACTAACACTATATCTTATATAAACTGAAACAAACATCTTTTATTTTAAAACAAACATCACACATCTTATTATGTATAAAATACTAAATCTCAACAATGTAATGGGTGCAGCTGTTGAACTATAAAAATTAAGACTCAAGTTTCAGTATTTTTATTCACCATGTCAGGTGATTAATTTTGTTTGTTTGCTTCGATAAGCGGTCGATTCTGTGGCATAGTGGACCAAAGGACTCGATTTGGCAGATAATTAAGAGAAATCGTCTCTTCATCAGGTATAGAGCGTTCTTCGAATGCTTTTAAAAACATGGAATCTCCTTCGTATAAAACACGATCCAYCGTCTCGGTTGTCCATGCAGAAATATCGCCACAATTCGCACTTAACAAAGCTGAAAGACTCATAAAAGCACATTGACTTCCTCTAGAAATGTCGCTAAAACGACTATCACCTTGATGAATACTTCCTCGAGTGAATAAAGTTGCACTAAACATGATAAATAATTCCAAACTCACCTTCGCAAAATAGAAAGCACGAGGTGTACGTCGCGCATTGATGATTTGACAATAACCGCTGATTACCTAAGGATTAGCGTGGGCGCAAATAACCGCTGATTACGTAAGCATTACTGTGGGCGCAAATTGTCGATCACTAGCTAGCTAGCTAGCTAGCTAGCGAGCCCATACACGACTTTCAAAAATGGCGCGATGTGTCACGGTCGCCGACCAGGGCACTGGGACGAAGCACTAAAACGAAGTCTCAAAGGCCAGCCTCCGTATAGTGAGCTTCCATGGTGCCTTGCAAGAGTGTTTTGTTATAAATAACATACCAATACATCTTTCAAACTTTTGGACACTGCCTACATACGATCTTCGTAGTGATTTCTTGATGGAAGGCCTTTCATGATCAGGTCTCGTTTCCATGATTCGTCACTAGTCCCCCAATATAGGCGGACGTGAACTGGCGCCATTTTTGAAAGTCGTGTATGCTATCGTCTTTCGACACCGCTTGTTATTGCGACCCAGGCTTCCCGGTTTGGTTTCGCACCGCACAGGGATCCCAATCGAAGCCCTTCGAGAATAGTGTTGCTGCTCACTTCGTTCGCAGCAATAAATCAAAGCAATCTTAAAGTGTGCATCAAGAAAGAAAAGGATCTGATTGATAAGAATATTTGACAAAAATGCCTTTTTTTCTTAAAAATATTGAATCGTTTGAAAGAATTGTTTTACAGATCCTCTTGACTGGCAAGAATTGATTGCTTTGCAGCTGCATTGAAAATAGTCTGATATTAACAATGTAGGTATAAATACTTAAGGTATTATCTATAGTTCATGGATTGAGTGATGGTCCATACCATCCATACTGTATACAAATGAATTTCCTAGTCCAAAGAGATGGTCACAGTATTTACTGTCATCAATATTGTCTCCAAAAAATATCTAAATTGAAAAAAGCATAATAACGTTGGTAAGTGAGATCAATAGTGAGGAGGACATGATATGCTACGACTTTCAGTTATTTTCAGAGTTGTTTTTGTTATTATCACCAATACCCGGCAATATGTATAAGACAGTCATCACCAATTGGAACAAATCTCACGATGGGTTGAGAAAACAATGAACAAACAATAGATAGGTCTCTAAATAGAGCTGCTGTACTTAAGGAGAAATCAAAAAAAGGTTTTGCTGCATTACTCCCATGTACTTTCTACATGTTGTACTTCAGTGATGTATTCCCTCATCATGCCCTGGACTGGTGGAATGCTAGATGCATAATCATTTTACATTAACTGTTTGAAATGGAAACAAAGTCCTTATAGTCAGGTAACGTTAGCTCTGGAGGAAAAATTTTTGTAGTGCCTAATTCTTACTTTTAATATTGTATAATCATTTTCATAATGTTCATGTGGTAAACCTTAGCTCTGGAGAAAACTTCTTGCGCTATGAGAAATGCTCTGAAACAAGGACTTATCCTCCAAAACATTGAAATGTGTACAACAGCCTAGTAGGTGAATAATATTCAGACACAGATACAAAATGTCCAAAGCAAAGAATTACCTCTCTCATTTTGAAAAATGAATTGCCAGTCAATAGACAATCACTGCCTGCTTGATGCTGGGGTCCAACTCTTTCAAGCTAAGATTATTGAATTAAATGTGAAGTTTAGAACTTGAAAAAGAGAGCAATATAGAAATGGATGATTGATGGATGGATAATGAAATAGTTATTGAATGTATTGAATTTGTATGCACATGCAGGTGATGGGACTACCCTAAGAGGTAAAAAAATAATGAATCCTGACTGAAAAAATGAATTGATGGAAGAACAAATAAATGAGTGGATGAACAATGGGATGAATGAATGAAGAAATGCAGGGATGTATTAAGGGAGAAATTGATGAGCGGATGGAAGAACAAAAGTATAGTGAAAGAGCTACTGATTTGATTATGAAAATGTACCTCTAATAGTTCTGAAACTTCTTGAAGGCCTCCTTTTAGACTTTTACAGCTTTTCATTAAATACTTGACATCATATATGTTGGGAAAGTACAACTTGAGCATATCAAAGAAATCAGATTCTTCAGAAGCTAGATTCTGGGCTGTCAGAAGTTTGATAAGGTAACCAAAATCATAGGCACTGAAAATAAAAAATAAATAATGCTAAAACCAAGGAAAATTATAGAAATTAGTTTTTTTAGGAATATCACTTGAACTCTAATAGATTGCTTTAGGTAAAAGCACGAAACACTTATTACTAAATTGTACAAAATTGTGCTAGTTGAACAAAAGAAAACAAAATAATTATCATAAAATAGTAAAAAAAAGTAAAATATTAATCTTTTATGCTTTTTACTGAGAGCACTCTAGTTTTGATATTGAGGGTATTAGTTACTATCATTTCACCAAACTGATAGAACACTCAGGCATGTCGCAATTATGCAAGGATGTGGATGCACATAATTGCTCCCTTTCCGCATAATTTACCAAATCATGTAAAGATATGGTAGATTATTTGCTACTAAATTTGTTTTTCATAGTATACTAAGTTTAGAAAATCGATTTTCTATGGTCTCATCGACAATGAAAATGGCGTCAGAAAATTATCAAAACTTAAGTGGAATCACGAGCGTAGCGATCATTTTTTTTTTCATGATCATTTTTTGGCGTCATTTCGTTTCGCGTTTCACAATTGTAATTTGTATCATAACCTGAGATTTCGCGTTTTCTCTAAATATAATTTGAAACCAGGGCAATAGTACTGATTGTGGTTTGAAGCGCATACTTCAAATTTGGAGGTAATGTCGCGTGACCTTTTAGTGCCAATCGTTGAGATTGACAGTTTAGCAAACACTGTTTTGTGCAACCCGTGCAAATACTGAAAGTTGACATAAGAAAAAGAGAACATTCCAAGAGAGTCAACGTTCTACCATTTAGTAATCATAGTGCGTCGTGCACACCGGCCAGTTTGCAGTTTGTTAAAACATTATGAAGTTGTTTAAACTTTACAGAACTTCTTCCAAAACGGTATAAAATAATTTCAAGAGGGATTTTTTTCCTTCAATTCAGAATCCGTTCTCTGAAATACTTGACATTGAAATACTTGACATACGACTGTCTGACGGTGACAGAATTGTATAGTTTGCCGAGAAGTTAGTATTTTAGCGCTTTTGACTGAAATGGCGGCTTTGTGGATAAGGTAAGCATGCTATACGACACAGCTACATACAATTTGTAATGGATTGTAAAAGCTGTGAGTGTATGTAAATTCAGGATGAGAGAATCATGCTTGTAGTAGCTCTCATTGTTTTAGGACGTCGTTACATTTTTCTGATCCTTAATGAGTCCTCGTTTCAATTTGATCCCTTATCCCGATTTTAATTGCCAAGGTTCCTTGTCCTAATCGTTGCCGCAGAGGCCAGGTTCACTAGAAGATGTAACGTCAAAGACTCCATGACAGTTCACCCCGAAAGACCTCGGGCGGCTCCCCCCGGATACCATTTCATATCTTCATTTACATCACGATTGATGTCGAGGTTTAAAGTTAACCGAGATGTCAACGCCTTTGCTGCGCTGTTTGACCGAAAAATGAAATGTCAGGAGCAGATTCTTATTCCTGTTGCTTGGCATGTTCTACTGTCGTCTGATGGAACAGGCAATGTGATTATGGCAACCGTCGATAAACAAATGCAAGTTTTAAATGGTGAGCAATGTAGTTTGATTGCACACTTAAAAGTGAAAACATCAGCAAAGCATTTCGGGAACGTAAGTGATTGGAAATGGTATTTTGTCGTTGGTTAAAAATCATTAACATTCTTTATTTATTAGATGCATATCAAAATGCAGGATTTTATTTCAAGTTGGTAAGTTTCAATTGTCTTTAGAGTGATGTCGAGTTAGTATTGAAACTCTATGGACATAATGAATCAAAATGACCAAACAGGGACAGCTAGCACAACCATTGCGCATTACACTCCCCCCTCCCCTGTTACGAACATGAAACTATAGTGGATATATATAGTGCGCAAACGTTTATAGCGTGCTTTAGGCATACGTGGAGGTGACTGTCCATGGTCAACGGTAATATCGTCAAATGTATAGTTAATACCTGTAACTCATTTTCTTTATCTTGCAGACTTCTCTCCATCACTAATAACAAGCTCTGGACCGAAAACTGCGAGTCAAAATCGTCCAATTACATGCAAGCATTAGCTGTCACGCCATCCACGACACTTAATTTCTACACTTGTCTTTTTGCTAGTGGTTTTACCAGTTCAGGATCAGGGACATTGCCGTGGTGGTTTAACGAGGATAGTCGATACCATGGGGTTTTAGTACATACAGAAACCTTGCCTGGTGGTACACTGGCGCCAATCAATGAAGGCAAAAATGCTGTTCATGAGATAACGCCATGTTACATCTCCCTCTACCGATCGATCTTGTAAGGTGCGCTCTGCACTGCAACACGCGTACTCATATTAAATACGGAGTGTCTAAACGTCAGGCAGCCTGACGTTTAGTCCCAGGACTAAACGTCAGGCAGTGTAATGTTTTCTTATAAAATCGTCGGAACAACCGTAATTTCAATTAATACAACAAGGGAAATGCAATTTTAATTTTAAAAGACCGAAATAATACTGTTCGACAAGTTTCAAACACAAGCACGGCATTTTGAGAATTTCGACTGCCTGACGTTTAGTCCCAGAACTAAACGTCAGGCAGTCGATTTTTGGTGTGAAAAATCTTCGGAACAACCGTAATTTCAATCAATACAACAAGGGAAATTCAATAAAGACCGAAATGATACTGTTCGACAAGTTTGTATAGTCACAAGCAAGGCACTTTGAGATTTTTTGACTGCCCGGGCGACTGCCTAACGTTTAGTCCCAGAACTAAACATCAGGCAGCAAATTTGTTTGTGAAAAATCGTCGGAATAACCGTAATTTCAATTAATACAACAAGCGAAATGCACTAAAGACCGAACTAATACTGTTCGACATGTTTCAAATGCAGGAAGCACGGCACTTTGAGATTTTTCGACTGCCTGACGTTTAGTCCCAGAACTAAACGTCAGGCAGTCTACTTTTTTGTGAAAAGTCGTCGGAACAACTGTAATGTCAATTAATAGCACAAGAGAAATGGATTTAGTCCCAGAACTAAACGTCAGGCAGTCTACTTTTTTGTGAAAAGTCGTCGGAACAACTGTAATGTCAATTAATAGCACAAGAGAAATGGAATAAAGACCGAAATAAGGGTTTAGTAAAAAGTTAGCAGGAGGAGGGGAGGTGGAAATTGAAAAGTGGGTACTGGGAATAAGGTGACCAATCATAGTGGGGAAGTGAAATTTTCTAACCCTACTGATATTAGACAGACAAAATATCGTGACCTAGTTCCCCGTCCCCCTTCAACCACCAGAAAAATCTTTCATTGTCCACAATTAGCATCCAGTGAATTAGTGGTGCAGGGTCTATAACTGAACCATTCTTTCTTCATTTTCAAGGGATAAGGATTAGGATATTTGATAGACAGTTGATTAGGACATTTGATTCATCTATTCTAAGTATTGCCTTACTTTATACATTTGATTTACTTTGTTTGTCTTAGTGTTGTTGTGGCTATTGAACCAAAATAAAACACTTTCTGTATCTATTTATACTGTGAACCAATTATTATTATTATTAACTGCCTATAAAATATCCTAATAATTATCACTTCATTCAAAATGAAGAAACAATGGTCTAATTATAGTTCCTGCACTATCTTTCACTGGCTGCTTGGGGGCAATGATAAATTGTTGCGGTAATGGTTGAAGGGGGATGGTCTGATACAGAGAGGGTTAGTAAATTTCACTTCATCCACAACTCTAGTATGTCATCACCTTATTCTCAGTACCCAGTTTTCAATTTCCACCTCCCCTTCTCACTGCTAATTTCTGACAAGACCCTTATTTCTTCGGTCTTTATTCCATTTCTCTTGTGCTATTAAGACTTTTCACACAAAAAATCGACTGCCTGACGTTTAGTTCTGGGACTAAACGTCAGGCAGTCGGAAAATCTCAAAGTGCCGTGCTTGTGACCGTGGCTTGTGACTATACAAACTTGTCCAATAGTATTATTTCGGTCTTTAGTGCATTCCCTTGTTGTATTAATTGAAATTTACGTTTGAACCGACGATTTTTCAAAAAAAAACATCGACTGCATGACGTTTAGTTCTGGGACTAAACGTCAGGCACTCGAAAAATCTCAAAATGCCGTGCTTCCTGCGTTTGAAACTTGTCGAACAGTATTAGTTCGGTCTTTAAAGCACTTCGCTTGTTGTATTAATTGAAATTAGTAACTTTTATTCCGACGATTTTTCACAAAAAAATTTGCTGCCTGATGTTTAGTTCTGGGACTTACGTCAGGCAGTCACCCGGGCAGTCAAAAAATCTCAAAGTGCCTTGCTTGTGACTATACAAACTTGTCGAACAGTATTATTTCGGTTTCTATTGCATTTCCCTTGTTGTATTAATTGAAATTACGGTTGTTYCGAYGATTTTWWAAGAAAAAAWT